GAAGATATTAGTATTAGAGTGCTCGATCACCATGAAGCATTACCAAAAATCGGTTCTTCTCAGGACTAGCACTTGTTTTTACAACTAATGATCTTTCGCACCCAACTGAAAGCGTTTACATCGTTTTTATTCGAACGTTTCTCCACCTACTGTTTAAAAGGTGGATCATTGGCATCGCATCGAGGGTGGCTCATGGGGGTTTTGTCTCAATTTAATTTGTTTTTCTACATTTCCACATTGTAATGACATATATTTCGAAATCAACCTGTATATACATAAAATATACACTTTTTCTTATTTCAGGAACTTACGCCAAAAACAACAATGAATATCGTGAAACGCGGAAAAATAAAACTTTCGAAATATTCGTATCAATTTTTCATTAATACGGGGAATCCACTGAATAAGCTTTGCTTAATTGACAAACACGCTAACGCTGGACTTTAAAACAAATATTTACTTTAAACTTTTGTACACGACTTTTACGGCGACTCTTTGGCAAATACTCCCTTTTTAACTCGGACGCAGGCGGTCCATTTGGTCTAATATTAGTTTTTCAACTTCGCGCTTGCTTGATTCGTTGTTTCCTTTAAGACACTAAGAAACCTTTCTCTTAGACATCATTTCAATATTTTCTTTCAAATCTTCGGGACAAGGCCATGTTGTAATTAACATTCACAAATCATCGTTTTACAAACCGCAAATATAGCGACGGTTACTGAATGACTAGCTGTTGGTCGCAAAACACCCACGCTAGAAAATAGACATCACCACAAACAAAAACAGAGATGTATTATATTTTGGCTAATGGATTCTGGTTGTAAATATACATAATGCAGTGCGGCTTCCACAACATGCATCCAATTTTGTTTGTTTCAATTTTTTTTTTCTTGCTATGAACAAATTGTTTTAATTAGATTCACTGCGGGGTTTCCCGCAGAAAAGTTTATTATTATTGTTATTATTATATGACACAGGGTTCACCGGACGGTTTAACAACTGTGATTTAAAAAAAAATTGAATCGTGATTTGACTCCGTGCCACTTCACATTTCTAGTTACGCCTATGGTTTGGGATCTGCAGGCAGGCGTTCGTCGGCGAAGCTGAAGCCATCGGTCACGAGCACGACCTATACCTTGCAGCTGTGTGTATTATAAATGATCCCAAGTTTGTGGCGCTTTTCGGCTATTTGTCATATCTGCACTATTATTACATCCGTCGAGTTGCGTGCCGTTGCGCTGCTCTTCATCAATCCGGACATCTGATGGGGCACAGATGCCGGCCAGCGCGGTCGGGCAGTGCCCGATCCGGCCCAAATGACAGCGATATTGCCCAACTACGCCGTTACATGCCGGTATTATCATTATTCAAAAAGGCGGCTTGCCGCGATGGCTCCGGACCTCTATCGGCTTCATATATAATTTATAGATGCCGGACACCGAATGATCTGCAAATGTATAGTAATGGGTAGACGCGTTGTTTTTAGTGGCCAGCAACAGGTAGAAGGTTTGGAGAGCACTCATGAAGTCAATTTATCAGGAGCAGCCTCACTCGCTGCCCGCCTAGCCACGTCGCATGCTCGACATTTTCAATTATTTGTTCTTTCGCCACAGATAACTTCCTTCGACAAATATAATTTCACATGATCGGTCCATTTTTTGCTCTAGTGTTGACCGGCGCCCGCTTCAAATCGCAACGGCTACAGTTAGACGGATCGCGAGAACGAAACGATACCGACGAAATAAAACAATGACCACGTAAAATAATAATTAATCACGGTATGTATCCACCGTAGATGGTCAATAACCAAAACGAACAATGTTTGCACGTCAAAAAATGACTACATGTAGAGAGTTTTCTGACTTAATTAATTAATAATACCTACTGAATAACTCTGTTTACAGATGTAAATATTATCTACATTGAGTTATTTTTGAATCACCTGTCTTTGGGCGTCTTTCCTTTAAGCCCTTGTTTTCTAAAAAAATTTAAGATTACCACTCTGATGATTCAAACCGATCTCTTTGAGCTCGGCCTGCTGGACTTGATAAGCTTTACCTCCATATGGGTGAAGCACAGAAGGCAGTATTATCTTATCCAGTACCCGACCCCACCTTCTCTTAGAACATCCCGTTAAAAACTGACGGGGATAAGTCTTCGTCGAACAGAACCTACAGTTGCTAATTTTGGGGCCGCTAGTTTGGGTACTGTGATGACACCCGAATTCAAAGTTCGATTCTTCGAACAGCTTGTTTGAAAGGTTTCGAGTTAAATTTATCTTCAGGGGAGAAAAATTTAGCTTGATGGGGTTACTGGTGCAAGTATACAGTTTTTCATACCCAAAAGGTCAACCTCTGAGTTTAACATTTCTTGTGGGCGGAAATACGAGCTAGGTTTTTGTGACCTTCCGTAATATTACAAACAGAACCCGGCCGACGTCACTCGAAGTCGATCGTCTTTCCCTGATTTCTGTAGAACCCATCTATGGGATTTCTATGGTTTTTCCTATAACAGATCCGGCTAAAATTTTCGGATGGTCGAACAAAGACAATATTTCTGCGACTAGGCATAGAAACCCTTGAAAACTCTGTGCACTATAAACTTTTACTAATATTTAGACAAAAATTCGAAATTAGATACTCCACTTTGAAAAGTTTCCATCAGTAAAAAATATCGGGTGATTTTTTAAATTTCGGCTCTAGTTACCCACCATGCTTACGTTAGCAATGACATAAAAACTCATTCAAAAACGCAGACAGGTATATAAACATCATCATAGTTGCAGATATTGATTTCGTATTTAGGTTATTGGCAATATTTTGTAATTAGCACTACTAATTAGTAATTAATGGACAATTTTAGTGCACAGTGTGATTTCACATTTGCGAAATATTCCTGATTTGTCTTTGAGTATTAAACTATAATTTGAAAATATTAGGGATTGAAAGTACGTATATTCTACTATGTATTTTTCAGAGTTTTGATATACAGGGTGAGTCACAAAGCGCACATTCCTCGATATCCGCTTAATTATTAGAAATAGAAAAAAAAGTCAAAGACCAAATTATTTTTAACTATACAGAGTGTTCAGTTTTTAGGACGTAACACACAACTTAGTTTTTTTTTTAATGAACACATATATGTCTTTAGATATTTGGATTGGCTTCTTCTCAGGCTTTATAACTACTGTACTTAAGAGGTGACATTTTCAAAAATCCGTTCTTATTGATCACCTAGGCTATATCATAAATCTACTATCCAAATTTCGCGTTTCTGACTTGAGTAGTTTTATGAGTCTGCAGTAATTTCATGGGCAATTTTGTATTTGTTAAATGAAAGTAGCCTGGGTTTACCGCACGGCCACATAACGTGGTGAACATTTCAATTATTTGTTCTTTTGCCAGGGATAACTTCCTTCGATAAATATAATTTCACATGATCCGTTTATTTTTTGGGGCAATATTGACCGCTGCCCGCTTCGAGTTCTAAACCCAAACACCTTTCATCCGATGAATTAACAGAACCCGTATCATCCGAGTCGACAAAGCGAGATTTGACAAATCTCTCGTATATGGCGCAATCTACAGTTTACGGCCTTTACCTAAGGCGGAAAAGCATCGTAAGTGGACTTAAATTATATATCGTTTCCAACTGGCACATTTATTGTTACAATCCCTTTGATACGAGCGACTAAGTGAAGTTGTCCTTTTTATGACAAATGGCTTTGATAAGAAATAAGGCACACATTTTTATCAGCTTTTGTTTTTATGAGCACATGCATAAATATACAGATCAGACCCGCCAGGGTATTAAAATTCAAACACACAAACAGGAATTTGTAATTCCTTTAATATTTTAACCCACAGGGATGTCCTCATTGGCATTGTTGTACGTCGTATTGATTTTAAACCAAAAGCAAGCTCTTTAGGATGATGATGCCAATAAAAAAATATATGAACCAGAAAGCGTGCGATCCCCACTGGCCCCTAGGAGCATTCGACTCAATTTTTAATGAGGCTATTGCGAATATTTTCTAAGTCAAAAAAGTTACCGTAGCAACCGATTTCTGTTAAGAAAAAATAAAGTATAAATAGCATAATAAACACGATCGGCGAAACTGCAAAATAATATCGGCGCGAACAATAATTGCCTTCGAAAACAAGGTATTTTGCATTGTCATATTTTATAATAATCCTGCCGTGAAAATTATCACCAATAAAACAGACTTACCCGCGGATATAAAAGAATTTTTATTCGAATTGTTTGTGGCGTTAAACTGTGGATAAGGGAAATAAAATCGCCAATTTTATAGTCACAGTCGCAACTCCTAGGTTAATTAGTTTTGAATTATGAAATCTTGTGTTTGTCATAAGCACTCAGTGGACGGATTAGTGCTTAATTATAGAGTCCGGAAATATATGCACGGATTATGATGAAAATCTCTGCATAAGATTTTATATTCATTCCTGACGTAGAGCTGCAGAATTCATTACACTTACTTCAATTAAACAACACTGCATACGTGCGTCTAGCTCGCTTCGCGAGCTCCACTAGCTCAATACTCAACCGATCGCGAACTTTGCACCCTTCGCCAACTTTATATTCAGTCGCGTCGTATCCAAACAAGAATAAACTAAATAGCTTCCCCAAAATCTATTACAAGCAGCTTAGGTTTAAATTTTAAATTTAAATTTGTGCATTAATCTACTACTGCACACTACGAGTTCACAATGAAGATTAAATTTGACCACCAGTCCGGTTATGACGAAAGGTAAACTAAGGAATTTTGGAAATGGATTAACGGCTTCGTAACAACGCTATGTTTGTACAAAAATGCAAACGTTATTTGAATGTGTTAAGTTGTCATATTGATAGTAATCGATATGCAAACTGCATATATTCCGGACTCAATTAATTTGGCGTCAGTTTTAAAGTTTAGAGAATTAATGAAACAGATGGAAATAGAGAGAACTGATAATCAGAAGGGGTTCATAACTTACCCTGTATCCCCCCAAATGGTTGACAAGACATTGGAAAGTGGCTTCTCGTCCCTTGATGACGGTTCGATTAATTATGGCTTCTGAAAATTCGGGTTGGAACCCCGCTCCTGTTGATAAAAATCGCCGTTAATTTTAGAGCAAACAATTATAAGAGGGAAGATATTTAAATAAGTTTAACATAAAAATCACATTTCAATGCGACCCCATTTCTGATGTAGAGGATTGAAAGACGTAATGTCTTAATAGAAAAACCTCTGACAGCCTAAGGCTAATCCTTTAACTTATTAAAACTTGAGTTAAAACAGTTTGTCGTGTCTCGGGGACTCGCGGCGTGTACGGACAGCCGCCTTCGCTTGCGGTTCGAGAACTCTTTCAAATTAACTCACTTCAACCAGCCGTCACTCTTCCAATATTCTTTTCTAGTCCCGAGGAGGGATTAACAAAAACATGCAAATTCATATTAAAATAAGATAAGAAAGTTTTATCGTTAAGTAACCTCATGATTGGATCTTAAAACCTTCGAATGTTCAACCCAAAGGGATATGAGTTTAGGCCATTGCCTCACACTATGAGCATTTACTGAAATCGTCAGACCTTAAAGCGATAAGTAACGAACGTATGGTACTCGTTCGCAACGGACCTGCTATAACTTGCTATTGCTGTTTTAGTATTATTGCGAAACTGACTCTCTCCGGCTACTTCCGACTAAGATTCTATTCAACTAATTCTGCTAAACAGTACTTTATTATTCGACCCACCCTTTGTTTTCAGTTTTATGGCTTTAAATAAAATGACCCAAAACCGACAATTATTAAAACCGCAGCAACTTCACAAATTACGCAATCTCTCCCAATTAAACATAACTTTTTCCGCACAAACTCAAATTACTCCATAAACAGGTAGGTTGCGGAACATTGTTTCAGACAAAAAGTTTGTTGTTAAGCTACCGCTCTGCATCTGGAAATGCAGATTTACTGCCTTCTGGGTAGATATGATCAAACGTTTTGACGTATGCATTCCTTATTATGTTGTCCTTTTGTGCACGCAAGCCGTAGCTTTACAGGTAAAAAAGTGAATGCTGTAGCAAGAACGAAATAGTAGTTCTGAATGAAAATAAAATAAGACGTGTGCTTTGAAGGGTTTTCTTATATTTAATGCATTTCGCTGTGGTCGCAACTTACTTCTCGATTCATAAAATACGCACACCAACTTTAAATTACCGCTTCTTAAAACTTGGGCTCCTTTACGCGACAATTATTTATCGCGGATACATTTTTAACGCGCGATTAGGGAAATACACAGATAGTTTGGCAACAGTTCAACTCATTATAGTGAAGTGGCCTATAAATATATAACGAATTTTTGATAAAACTAACGCTCGGTAACTGAAATCCTGGCGGCCAAAATCACACCGTCATTATCTAATAGGTTAACTTTCCATCAAACATTTTACAAAGAACAGAAGGATCAAATAACAATCAATAATAGTGACTTTATTTAAGTAACTTACTAAGGGTAGGTGTCCCTGAAGGAAGACGACTAACTAACCCCTAGAATCCAATACGAATGTGGGTTAACACCGGAGCACGGCAGCCGTTTTGTCTGCCGAAGGAGCACTTCGAACAAGTAAGTACTGGTTAACCTTCGCCTGCAGCGTAAGACACCACTCCACTCCGGGCTCGGGCCATTGAAGACGTATCCTTAGCCCGGGTACCGACGAAACTGGGTGGTAACCAGTTTTTCGCTTTCCCCGAGTCCCCAAAGCCTCTCCTCATGACAGACCGGGCCTACCGCCAGACTTGGTACCAATTGCGGCAGAAGCACGAGGTACCAAATTCTGCAACTTTTACAAGGATAGGCAACCCTTACCAGTCGCCGTTTCTCGGTCCCAAAGGAGCTACGCGTTACCCGATCATCAGGTCTTTAAAGATGAGACCTCGGAAATGATGTACCCTCGAGTTACCCAGTTTAACTCGAGGGTACATGGTGCCATTAACGTGGAATACCTAAACCGGGAAGGACTTGACCTAACGGTGGACCCGTCTGGGCAATCCAGGAACCGTCTTGAAATGGTCCTAAATTGGCGGCAGCCCGTACTACTCCACTCCGGGCTCGGGCCATTGAAGACGTATCCTTAACCCGGGTACCGACGAATCTGGCGTGGTAACCAGTTTTTCACTTTCCTCGAGTCCCCAAAGCCTCTCCTCATGACAGACCGGGCCTACCGCCAGACTTGGTACCAATTGCGGCAGACGCACGAGGTACCAAATTCTGCAACGTTTACAAGGATAGGCAACGCTTACCAATCGCCGTTTTCCGGTTCCAAAGGAGCTACGCTTTACCCGGTCGTCGGGTCTTTAAAGATGAGACCTATTTGCTTAAGTGCAGACCCACGTGTCATCGAGTTTAACTCGAGGGTACATGGTGCCATTAACGTCTTAGGTCTTAAAATAGCCTAGTGATGATGGAACTGGTAAAGGCGACAAATTGTACGTAAGCGGTAGAAGCCCTGTCAAGTAAAGAGAAATTGTCTGGTGTTCAAGTATGCGTTTCGCTCTTTGAACATTGTTACAGCCAATTCCCTCAGGGTTCGACGTTTGCAGGAAGTGGGTGTGGTATGAGAAGCCCCTCCCCACGATGTTTCCTCTTATTGTGGGTGTATTAAAATCTAATACTCAGCCCCTTCCCAATATTTCAACAAATATTAAACGTTATTTTTAGATTTAATTAAATAATTGAAGACCGCCTATCTATGGGTATTGAGACATATCTTTAATGAAAACTAAACTTATGTCCTTTATTGTTCTAATGTCAACAATCTGACATTAAATACAGCACCTTCGTTGTTGTGGGTCAAAAGAAACCGGACTTCCACGGTATGGTTTCGGCATGCACTACATGGACGACTCTTGTGACGACAATTTTAGATCTAGTTTTTATATAGAAGATTATTTTGCTTACTTCAAAAGGTTCAACACAAAGACGCAATTGAAACGTGGGCGTTACTATTGTTTCATAAGGCACGCCGTGGAATTCGACCTTAAGAGAACCAACTAACTGCTAGAAGCAATCACTAATCAATAATCAGAATTTGCAGCAACTAATGCTTTACAAATTGATCAACCGCCACCGGGTGTTTATAACTAAACAAAGCTAAGTGTAAAGCATATTCCCAAGTGAGTTCATCAAAACCGTTTAATAAAAGAAAAATACATTAACCAAAGCAGTTGGAGCTGACGTGTCAAGGAAGGAAGCAATTTCAATGATCGTTAGATTAAATAAGGAGTAGAAGAGTTAAGTGAATTAACAACAACGACCTACAAAAAATAAATTACCTAGCACATGACGCAGTTCTCATGCAATTGTATGTATGGAGGTACTGGACTGTCTAATTTGTTACATATAAAACACAATGAAATACTTTTTGGATATTTTTCATCAAATGTAAGAATTTCGGAAATGTGGATTTAAACGTCAAACTCTAAAGTGCCGTTGTAAAAAATTTGATATAAGAATAACAACCATATAAAGCAGTATAGAGACTAAGAGTCAATGTAAGTCGTTCACGGCTGCTGAACAATCATTGCAATAGTTTGTTATGTTTTTGAATCAAACACTCGCAACACAGTGGAAAGATTAACTTGTAATTAGAACTCAGTTTAACTCCTCAAGTTTGTTTTTCTTGGAGTAGAATATGTTAAAGAGGGTGATAACTGAATTAAACTTAAACACGGAGAATGGTTTGTCATTGCAAATAGAAGTGAGAGAGTAGGCGTGTAATCAGTACACATATTATTCTCTTTTTAATTGAGTTTAGTGATAGTGCGTTTGCGAGTTGATTAGCAATTAAAATGAACATAAATTGGAAATTTATTTATAAAATGTAAACCGCCGCGGAAAAGCGAGTAAGATTTAGAAAGCGAGCTCACATAGGAAAAATATATAAAAAAATATTAGTCTCTACACGGCGGGTAGTTATGAAGTTTGTTTGAAAGTGGCTGAAATAATATAAGCACGTAGGAATCTACTTTGGAAGAGAATTAAACATCCATATTTAAAGGGAAATTCGTGGAGAAGGCAGGAAGCGTGAAAGAGAATTCAGATTTATAGTGAGTCGTATGTTTGGAAATGTCCCTTTAACATAATAAACGTTTCTAAACATCCATAATAATTTTTGCTATTGATTCGTTCAAGTGCAAGAAGCTTATGTTGAACGTGTAATTAGTGTGGTAGTGAATTTACATAATTGCAGAAGCGAGGGCATTATGAACAGGTAAAGTTGTGCCAATAATTTATAGTGACAACAATAACACCTGCTGCAATCGACAATGCTTCACGTCTTGCCCGAGAGGCCTAAACGTTTACTACCTACTCTAATTTACTGTCGCTCCGAGTGTTGCCAGGGCGGTACTGGATACTTTATACACCATTAGATATATAAATACGGAGGCACTCTGCATTCTTACACCATTCTCAATGTGAATCAAACAATCTCCCTCCGATATCCAATCTCATCAGCACACTTTTACCGCTCTAATCTCACCAATCAATCTCTGATACACTTGCCGACTCATTTAACCGTTCCGGGAGCTCATATTCACCTTCTAAAAACACTGTCCGGATAAATAAACGCCAAAAAAACTTTGTTAAAGCTCGAAATTAAACTCCCACTCCATGCAGTCGCCTGCAAATTGCAAACGCCAAAATTAGTAGCAACCTGTAATTTGGTAAAATACATTTCTACGTATTTGCTTCTGCCACATCAAAGTATGATTATTCTAGATGAACTACATTTTTAACAAAGTTCAGCAACAAAACAGGCGCAAATTACAACTTCCGAAACCTCCATATGAACTGGTGTTTTACATTCTAGTAAACGCAATTGTAAATTTTTTGACGCCTTTCTACAATAAAACATAAATCAAAAATACTATGCATCCTATAACGAAAACACTTCACTCGCCGGTGTTGACGACACCAGGTTTGTGTAATTAATTTATAATTCAGTGGCAGAATGATTGAACCTGGTTGCTCTAAGGTGTCAAATTAAGTACTTTGTGAGATTATTATATGAACTTTCAAAGTCGAAACTAAGAAAAATAATATG